CTCCATTCATTTAATCAAAAATACAGTAAAAAAAGTGATATTGTGAAATATCATTATAATAACTGTTTTATAAGATTTTAAAATGTAATTTTGTTTTCAGGAATCATTCTAATATGCTGATTTGATATGCTATTCATTTCTTCTTATCAATGTTGAACACAGTTGTGCTGCTTAATATTTCTGTTACCCGATAACTTACATTTTTTCAGGATTCTTTGATGAATAGTTCAAAAGCATTAATCTGAAATAGAAATCTTTTGTTAATATTAGAAATTACCTTTTGATCAATTTAATGAGACCTTGTTGAATAAAAGTATTCATTTCTTTTAAAAACATAATTTAAAAAATCTTACTGCTAAAGCTACGAGCTAAAGCTAAATACTTACGGTTAGGTCTTCAAATTCATAGTATAGTGATGCTTTAGTAAACACCACGAAAATAGTAGGAGTAGTATGGTAGTACTGACAATCCCTTAATCAAAGTCAGTACTTTCTTTCCACCAGAGCCTTAAAACCCCATTTTTTGATACGCTAAAACACACTTTAGGCCTACTAACCCCGCTGTCCTCTTCCTGCCGGCCTGCGGGACTTTCTCCAGCATGTGCGGGCACTTCGCCAGTTCTCCCCGGGCACTGCTGTGCACCCGTATGCAGGCACAAGCTAGCTCTGTGCTCCCTGAGAGAATCCCTATCAGGCACAGAGAGACGCTCTTTATGTCTTAATGGAGGACAAATCTGTTAGCGCAAGGCCAGTGTGCCTGCATGAGCTCTTCACTGCTGTCACCCGAGCGCAAATGAAATGAATGGAGAGACTTTTAGAGAGGCGCTGAGCTGGCAGACGCTAGATGTGGAGATGTTATTGATTGTAGAAGTGCATTTAGATGAATAGCATAAAGAGGAAGAAGCCATTTCAAGTCAATCAGGCTTTTTTTTTGTGAAATGATTTAAGTAATTTGTACAATATTACTAGTCTACATTTATACCTGTATTTATTTAATCAAAAATACTTTAAGAACAGTAATATTGTGAAATATTATTACAATTTAAAAGAACTGTTTTCTATTGTAATACATTTTAAAATGTAAATTATTATTGTGATGCAAAGCTGAATTTTCAGAATCAGTACTCAGTCTTCAGTGGCTCATGATCCTTCAGAAATCATTCTAATATGCTGATTTGATGCTCAAGAAACATTTCTTATTATTATTTATGTTGAAAAGAGTTGTGCTGCTTAATATTTGGGTGGAAACGGTTTACTTTTTTTCCGGATTCTTTGGAAAATAGAAAGCTCAAAAGACCAGCATTTATTTGAAATAGTAATCTTTTGTTAATTATAAATGTCTTCACTGTCACTTTTGATCAATTTAATCCCTGATCCCAAACTTCTAAAGTAATGCTCACCCTCATGTCACCCCAAACCTCCAGTATGACCTTTTATTTCTGTGAAACACAAAAGGAGAAGTGTATATAAAGATACACTTAGGGGTCAAAAAAGCCTCTGACGTTCAGCCAATTGCATTTAATATAAATGTAAACTATAATATGTTTCATTTACTTGCAAATAATATGCAATTAAGCGTTCGAAAACATTACATTTAGTTTGCATTACAATAAGCACCCCTTTTAAAATTATGCTGAAGTATACTTGCTTTTCACAAGGGTGTCCCTTTAAAATACAGACCTTTAGCATATGTAATAATGTTATGAATGATTGATTGTCTAAATGTAAACTGAATTTGCATTTAATATAAATGTAAACTAAAATATGTTTCATTTACTTGCAAATAATATGCAATTAAGCGTTCGAAAACATTACATTTAGTTTGCATTACAAGCACCCCTTTTAAAATTATGCTGAAGTATACTTGCTTTTCACAAGGGTGTCCCTTTAAAATACAGACCTTTAGCATATGTAATAATGTTATGAATGATTGATTGTCTAAATGTAAACTGAATCGAGCCTATTCTTTACAAAAAGGCTGCTTTGTATTGTTCAGCATCCCTGGATAAAGCAGGCCAGCCATCGCTGAGATCTCACTAGTGGAGGATTCTTTGGACTGCACTTTGGCATTTTTCCAAACTTCATGAAAGCCACTCCTGCTGTTAGCAGGATTAAGAAATTCAGAATAAGGGTCATTTACTGTCTGTGTCCTTTTTTTTCCTGAATGTCCTAAAGCAACAAGCAAAGGAAATAACATAAGTAACACCAGAGTAATACAGTGCTAATGCAGAGGTACAAGTGCAAATTTGTATTTTGTACAAGAAAAGTTAAGTGTGTTATTTTGAGGATCGCAGTGGAGTTCAGGAGTTTGTTCCACCACCAAGGAATGTATGATACAGTATATACTAAATGTTTAAGGTGGAATTCACCACTTTTAGTCAATTAAGTGGCATTTCACCCTCTCTGTGATATTCAGAAGTAGGATGCTTATCCTACTGTACTTTTAAGACTTTGAATGAAAAATGATCTCATTAACTGAATAAGAAAAAGTGTATACACTGGTAACTGTATGGTACATCAAACTCTAATTCCCCCCCCCCAAAAAAAAACAAGTAAAATCCTATTTTCCATAAAACATAGATCCTAAAAGTACAATATTAAACAGCAAAAAGTAAGATTTTGACCACTATTAAGGATAGTTCACCCAAAAATGAAAATTCTGTTATCATTTATTCACCCTCATGTTGTTCCAAACCTATTGAGTTTTTTTATTCGGCTGAACACAAAAGAAGATATTTTGAAGAATGTTGGTAACCAAACAGCCATTGACTTCCATAGTATTTTTTTTCCCACACCATGGCATTCTTCAGAATATCTTCTTTTGTGTTCAACAGAAGAAAAAAAATCAAACAGGTTTGTAACGTGAGGAAGAATAAATGACAATTTTCATTTTTGAGTGGACTATCCCTTTAAGGGATTTTTCTCCATAATGTGCCAATATTAGAAACATGCCTCCTTTTTCATTCTTACAGTGTTAGTCACCAGTTCTGTCTCCAAACAATCTCAGCCAGATGACGGTGAACCTTTGCTCTATAAACTACATTAGCGCTGTAACTGCATCTCACTGTGTTCATTGTGAAGCGTGCGAGCTCAGATTGTCTGAATAAGCCTTGAGCAGTGTTTCCAGGCAAACCCTGAATGCCAGTCGGAGGGTTGCCATGGCAACAGAGTCGGGCCAACTTTACTTTGGAATGCCTGGAGACCCTGAACACTTCAGCTGTGCTGAACATCTTATCTGGTAACCAATGTCATATTCTTCTGTGCACTGATATGAGAATCTCTCATGACCACTTTCCCTGAAAAATGACACGTCATATAACAAAATAAATAACAAATGAGATCTCTTTAATATCTCGATAGATTCTCTGTCAACAAAGAGATGAATTAGCAAGCAAAAGGAGACTTTGCTTTGAGAAAAACAACCCAGTAAGCTTAAATGTCTCCTCTAGAAATGTCTAGAACACCTCAGTGTCACACACTGTACTCAGTTTTCTCTCTGGTCTACTTTATTTAATTCAAACCCCTGAGAAGAGTTATGCAAAAGAAAGTTGTGTCAGTAAGACCGACTGCATTTGCTTCCTTTAGTTTGATTTTAATGATTTTTCGACATTTAAATAAAACAAAGATTATTGGAGTACATTTTACAAGAAAATACAATTTCAGTCAACTTCAAAATTTCACATTTAATGTGTAACCTGTCGCTTCTTAGTAATTATTTGTGAAAATTAACTAGCAATTTCTGAGTGAATTCCTGCACCAATTTTTTCAGTGACGTTGGGTATTAAAAAAAAAAAGAAAGAAATGTTAAGTATTCTAATAAAGATCTTTATTCAGTTTTAAATAGGCCAACAAACTGTAAAAATACATACAGGTCAATAAAATGACAAAATCAGCTCCTTCTGTGCATTTCAGCCTCTTGGGATACGGTTGTAAATTGTCCTCAAAACAATATGGAACAGATGGATGACTTGCAGGTGTGGAAAAAAAAAGTACTTTTGTTGTCGGTAGGTTTTTTCTTTTTCCAGATTGGTTGATCCTGAGAGTCAGTCGGTATGAGATCAAATTCAAATCAGAGACGGATGCCAGCATTCACCAGCCTCCAGGAAGCGTAAAAGGAAAGTTTCAATCATGATATTACAACGTAGGACGTGCTTTCAATTCATGGAGCAATAATGCAAAAGAAACGGTGCAAAAAAAATCATTCAATAGTCCAGAAAGTCACCCTGCATCCCAAATAAAACAACAAATGCTTCAGTGATTAAATAAGACTGACTTAGGACAACACAGGAATATCAGCATTGCTTAAAATAAACTCAGCTTAACAGAAAAGATAACATCCACTCGCCAACATATCCGATTAAGTCTGACTATATTGATTTTCTGACAAGCTGCAATATCTTGGAACAAAGAAATCCATAATTTCAATAATTAAAGTGACACTATCAGTTAAATAACGCAGATTTTAAGCACATTATAGAATTCAGGCCTCAGCAGTTTGCATTTTTACATTGCAAAATGATTTTAATATCAACTTATCATCCTTTATTTTTTTTTGCTTAGGGCTTCTTAAAGAGATAATTCACCCAAAAATGAAAATTCTGTCATTTACTTAACCTCATTTGTTCCAAACCTGTATTTTGAAGAATGTTGGTTTGGTGACAATTGACTTCCATTTCTCAAATCATCTTATGTTTCAAAGAAGAAAGTAAGTCATACAGGTTTGGAATGACAGGAGGGTGAGTAAATGATGACAGAATTGTAATTTTTTGGGTGAACTATCCCTTTAACGTAATTGCTACTCAAATGAAGGTGGAACTCAAACCGTGCCCCCAAAGTTGTAACGTTTTATTGCTGGGCTGCTCAGATGTGCTTGAAGGCCAAAAAAGTGAACGTGGGTCACTCTAAGAAAATTAAAAAAATCAGTGACATAATCAGTGTGATTCAGCACAAAGCCTCATTCAAAGAATCACTCCTTAATTCAGTCAGGCTCGTTTTTTTTTGTTGTCCTTTTTGAAGTAACTTTCACAGAGCTATCTGAAAGCACAAAGCAAATAAATAATAAAAGAACAGACTGGAGAAAAGCCTGAAGGCCAGCACAATTATGACACGGAAGGAAAACAACAATTCTTATTTAAAAAAAAAAACAAAAAAAAACAACGAAATCTCATTTAAGTCCTTTAAGGAAACAAAAATGGCCATCTGAGTGAGTGTAAATGCAGGGCGCATGCCTTAACGTTTCCTCTTTCGGGGTGATGCTGATGAAGCAGAGAAAGAAGATGGTAATGGGAATGTTGTCATGATTCCTCGTTTCCGGAGTCATCCTCGTCATAGCAACAGTCCTCGCCATCCTCATCCTCCAAGTCCTCATCATCATAGTAATCGTCATATAACAGGTCGGACCCCTCGTCTGGTGCAGGGGCGCGTGTGCGAACGCAATACTCCGCCAGGGTGGTGGGAACTTTTACTCCGTCCCGTTCTGCCTCGGCTTTAGTGGCCAGAACCTGTTTTCTGTAAGACACACAAGCACATGCAATGGAATATTTGGCTTTCAAATCTTCAGGCTAGACTTCAATTGTAAATACATTAACGTAAACATGTTTTCCATTTGCTTTTGCTGCTATTACAGTTTGTGGTAATCCATGTCATGCCACAGATTCTGCCCAAAGACATTAACTTTGCTCACAGATTTACACAGCTGAAATATTAACCATGTAGCTTCCATAAGACCCATCTGTCTCAGGCAGTGGGACATATTGACATTTTATGTTATATTAGTTCTTCATATGAATTGTTGCCCTGAGGTTTCAGGCTCAGAAATAAACAAGTCAAGTCAAATTTTCCAACTCAGATGGTTGAAAACATGAATTGCAACATGCAACAGACTGCCAAGAGGAGATGAACAGTCACTCGTGTTTCAGTGACTCATTCAACCACAGGAGGGCACCGCTGATCCAGAAAATCCATTAGCTGTTGCTTTTCACCAGGCCTTCTGATAGAGCCATGAAAACGGTAACCAGCATTAAACAAATAAACATTGCGCACAGATGAACTCTTAAAGGAGTCATATTCTGTATTTTTGCACAATCATTAATATTACCTAATGATTTCTGCGTATTCCCGGTCTTTTCCTTTACTGTCTCTCCATTTGCGGTACATGACGGAGGCGTCCACGTTGGCTGGAGAAAACGTGTTGGGTTCGTTCAGTAGAGAGATGACACTCAACAGTATAGTTCTGAAACACACAAACAGACACTCGATGTTATAATGCCATTACCTTAAAGCTCATCAGCAGCAAAGCTGCTTTGTGTTGCATTTTCCTTAAGATTCCAAGAGATTTTACATAAGAGGATCAGTCTTTATCTATTGCTTACAGCTACACCGATGCACTCACATTTGCAGTAGGGGCGTACAGTATTTTCAGTGACCAATTTGGCAAGAAAACAACAGTGTTCACTTGGAAAGTAACTTATTTTGAAGTACTGTTTGCATAATCATTCTTATAGTCATTGATTGTCCAAGTGTTTTGAACTTAGAAAATAAATGATGTAGTCCAAAATACATTTTCAACAATTTAGAGTGAAACCTGTATAATTAAAAATAACAGCAACAACAACGATCATTATTATTATTATATTAATCGTGCTATAATTATCATTTAGTGTTATGATATACAATTAATTTGAATATTCATGTGATATAATTATTTTAGTTATTAATAGGTCAAAACCAGAAATAAAATAGCTGGTTCTACACATATTCTACACATACCATAGCTGGTTCTACAAATATATATATATTTTTTTTTTTTTTTTTTTTTTTTTTTTTTTTTTCAAATTTTTTTTTTTATATGTCTAGTACAACCATGGTTAATTTTTTTTTTTTTTTATTTTATTTTTTTTTTTTACAAATTTTACATATATTAATATTTAAAATTTTGCTTTTTTGGAAAAAAACAAAACAAAAAACAAAACATGATCTGGATAGAATAGCTTTTCTTACCATGTACATACAAATTGTTTACTGTAAAATTAAAACTAGCTCAAAAAAATAATCTAGACATAATGATCACTAACAAAGAAGGAACACGGATACCAATATAAAAACATGAAAATTATACAAAAAGTGCAATCTACAATATTTTGAGGTTGTTGCAACAAAGCAAGTTCTTAAGTGACACATTACAAAAGTGACACATTACAAAAACAACTGGGCAGATGTATTAGTTTGCAAGTCTTACTGCACAGATCTATTCTGACATATAGTACCAGATTTTTTCACATTTGTTTTGCACTCAAAATAATAATTAATTAAAAGGAACATCTGAGCAGGGGAACACAGCAGGCTTTTACAGTGTAAACCATGCAACATTCAGTCTGGGGTCAAAATATGCCCATCTCTCTCTGTGTGCAGCGACAGGTGCTCTTCAACAACACAAATGATTAACAGGAGCTTCCACACTCGCTTTTCCACCGAAGCACAAAGCCCAGTGAAACATGATACCAGACTAACAAGAACACAGATCAGACTCGGGGCAGGAAACACACAAATACACAGATCTCCACTGAGATGCTTTCCATAAAGGCAAGCAACAGGAAACTCTGAACACAAAACCAGCCTGGTCACTCTTCCTATAATTCTGTTAGCGGGAAAATACGTGATCACTCTTATGTGACAACGTCTACTAAAAAGCTACTGCCTATGTATCCCTGAGGGGAAATTTATTTAAAAACCAACCATTTCTCTGTGGAATGTGGTCTGAATAAGCTGCAAAGTGGACTAGACTATATGCTGATAATCAAAAAGGTCTGGCTGTTAGAGATTCCTTCATACCTGACGTTCTGTGTGGGGTTCCACCTCTCTGAGGGAAGCTCTCCACTCTGTGGATCATCTACTGGAGGATGCAGAATGGAGATACACACGTCCCCGTTCTGTGAAAGCACAAAGAGATTCATCAATCACATGATCATAATGCTTTCATGAAGCAAAACAAGCATCTGAGTGAACCCCTCGCCTCCACACCACTGCTGTGAGTACTCGAGTCAGAGCGAGACGTGTGACAGAGAGATAAGGAGAAACAGCCTGTCAAAACTGAAGGACGGTCTCTGCAGAACAGAGAAAAACTCGCCTGGACTCTGAAAAGGCCTTGTGCATGTAATGCATACATATCCAATTTGAGGAAATATAGTGGTGCATGGGGTAGGTGGTTTGACTACAAACTTAAATCAGAGTATTGTTATATCACGGTAATTGTATATGAATATATATATATATATATATATATATATATAGTTGTACTTCCTGTAAATTCAACCCAAACATTTTTATATAAATACATTACCATGTAGTAATGCTCTTTTTAATAATAATCCAATAACAAAAGCATCAATTAAATGTCTTGTAATTAAATGCTTTGTAAATAAAACATACTTAATCTAACTTGATTACTGCCTTTTTATCTGTAACTTGGTGAACTCAAACCAAAAAACAAGATTATTTATAACAAAACGATACATTAGGTATCAATATTATAAATAATAGATGAAAAACTAAATGAAAATTGCCTTGGCAATCATCTGAAATAAAATAACTAAGGTGAAATACTAAAATTACTAAATCATAAATAAAAATAAATTTAAATAGTTAAATTAAAATCAAGATGAAAATGGAAAATATAAAAATAAAGGCTAATTCAAAACATTAATAAATACTATAATAGTATACAGATAATAGTAAATAAGCTTTGTGTCTTTATACATTAATGAGCTATGTTTAAATACTGTTAAAAAATATGCACATCTGTGAACATACATCAGTTGAATTCAATATTAATGTGTCGAGATGTTACAGTGCATGGCAACCATAAACAACATACCGTTACACTACATTTATATCAGAACACATGGTGGCGATGTGTCCAAACGAATAAATAAAAATAATGCGCATTATAAATCAACAAAGCTGTCTACACTACAAGCGTTCGCCACGATCCACTCTGGTGTGTCTCCAGCACACCACACACATTACCTGTGATATACATTTTCAAAATTGATTGAAACTGAGAGAATGGCAAATTGTAACTTTTTTTTAAATTTTTGCACACAATAAAAATCCACATGCCATCTTTTGGGAAAAGAAATGTGTGTGCCAAATATAATAGTCTAATACCAAATATAGACCTAAGAGACCTACACTGAGAACAATATTAATTAAAATACAAGATGATATACATTTTCAAAATTGATTGAAACAGAGAATGGCAAATTGTAACTTTTTTTAAAATTTTTGCACACAATAAAAATCCACATGCCATCTTTTGGGAAAAGAAATGTGTGTGCCAAATATAATAGTCTAATACCAAATATAGACCTAAGAGACCTACACTGAGAACAATATTAATTAAAATACAAGATTGAAAAGAATGAAGTTTGAATTTGAAAATGAATTTAATACACAATGTCAGAGTTTGTTTAGTTGTTTATATTTATTAGATATTTATAAATATAATGTTATAGAACCTCAAATATAAGCATAACTAAATGAGTAATACTAGTGCTTTAAATATTTTTGAATTACTTAATTTTCAGTCTGTTCTTCACACACACACACAACAGAATAGAAAGCATGATTTGTAGAAACCAATTTTATGACGGTATTAATCCTTTTTGGGTATCAGACAGTCCACCCAGGAGTTCACTGAACAGAAAAAACGCAGAAGGTTAAGAAAATAATGACAGATCTGTGCAGTGGCTTTTGCCATTGCTATGCTTAGAATTTCAAACACACCACATGACCTAATGTTTTTCAGGTCACAAACAGGCCTGAACTGCAGGTGAACCACACCGGTCTGTGCCTGGTGGTGTGAGTTACAGTTTCTCATTTTTAAGAGTTCAAATAATGTGCTTGGCTTACTTTCTTATTTGAAACAGTGCAACTATTTATAATCAATCATATCAAGAGCTCATATAATGTGTTGCTTTTCATTTCTGTTCAGTGGCACTAGCCATCATACAAAAGCCCCGTTCACACTAGCAGCGACTTTTGTCTATATAATCTAAATCTAAATTAAATCCGTACATACAAACAAAAATTTATGAGAAACAGAGCCTACTTTCTTCCATTGCGTATGTTTATCTACGGCGCTGAGAGGAGAACGATCACATGAGCTCTACCGTCTTCTTTCCTATTGGCTGTCCCTCCCGAAAGTCGCTCTTCATTTGCATAAAGTTGAAGGATTCTGAACTTTGTCGCGTCGCTGGATATGCCCCATCTGGTCGCCTACGGCCGCTGTCGCTCGCGTCGCCGGAAATCGCCAGCTCTCCATTGAAATGAATGGGAGTGTGTCGCTTTGCTGTTGCATGTTGCTTGTAGTGTGAACGGGGCTAAAGGTTTGTGTTTGCCTGGTGCATTAACACAGGGCTTAACTGAGAAGGAAATTAGGAAGTCCAGAACAACAGACAAGCCACGTGCCACAGTACACATCGTGAGGGCTGAAACAATCCTCTTACCTCATAGATGTTGGGGTGCCACATCTTGGTGAGGAATCTGAATGTGGGTGGGGAATAGGGGTAATCGATCGGGAACTTGATGCGAGCCTGCAAAACAAGACAAAAACAATGGTCATGACTAGGGCTGTGTGATATGACGATATATATCGGATGGACGAAATAAAAAATCTATCGTTTCATATTATGCTCTATCGTTTATTTCGTGGTGTCGCAAAATACATTGTTTACGGTAATACTTTTTCATCATTTGGATGACTGCGATCTTTACACACCACGGGGCGTGAAGCGGAGACAGAACCAGGTGGAGAATGACCAGCCAAGACAAAAAACGAGGAGCTCGTTCCTAAACGAGGGACTACATCTGTAGCATGGACACACGTTTTTAAGCACTGCAGTTTTAAAACAACCGATTTTTAAGCCGCTTTATTGGCTTTGAACAATTACATAAACACACTTATATGCGTCAGAATCCCCGTCTTTGCAAGTATCTTCATAAACACAGTGATTTAGGTCTTAAGAGAGAGTAAACAGCTGAAAACGAAAACGCATATGTAACAGTATATTGGATCCAGACTTCGGTCTTAAAGGGGAAGCTGTCCAATGTTCGTCCTTTCTGCCATTCATATTAATAAAACAAAAGTGAGAGGAAAATCTCTCACTGCTCTTGACTAAATCACTTTTGTAACTTTAATAAGAAGAAATTAAATATAAAAATGATATATATATAATTAACACAGTGAAGACTAACTAATTTACACAATGTGTATGTAGCATTTCTTATTTTAGTTTTTTGTCCTATTGCTTGCAATTAGTTTCTTATCCTTATTTCATCACTGACTGTTTATTTATCTTTATTTATTAGGCTTGTATTAGTTTGATATCAACACTGGTGATAAGGATTATGAAAATTCTATTTTACTAGGGATGTAACGATTACCGGTTTGACGATAAATCATGATAAAATTCCCCACGGTTAGTATTACCATTTCATCTTTTAATTATCATTAAAACCATATTAGATTACCATGATTTGAACAACTCGCGATAAATAAATTCTGTCCAGCATAAAGCACAGTTTTAAGTAACAGTTTCACGTGCGCACAGCACGCAGAGTAGTTTTGTTTTGAGTGAAAAAAGGGGGGAAAAGCTGGGAGGTATTAAAAGAGTGCTAAGGGAATTATACAAATGAAAATATGAATGAATTAATTATATGAATGTACCTCTGAAGGCTCTGACTGTCTTCAGAAAAGAATCGATGGCATTTTGTTTTCATCTTCGCTCCATGTAACACCTAAAAGAAGTGTTCTTAATCGCAATACTGCTTTGTCCACGGAGGTTATGGGAAACAGCTCTAATTCAGTTTTTCCAGAAGCGCCACCTGCTGTCAGTGAGTGGATTTACAGAGACTTATATTTACATTCCGCCTGTGTGCAGTTTCGAATTTGCATGCCCTGCTGTAAATTTTGACCGGTTGATGAAAAATCATGTGTGATGATTCTACACATTTAAACAATTCAGATAAGTTATCTAGAATTCTTTATGGAGCAGATATAATACATATAATCATTTATTAATCAATTATCATTTTGACATATCTTTTCTTTATTTAAAGGCTGAAATGTGAGATTTACCTTTTTATTAAACTTTTTCAAAGCTTTATTTGAACATTTACATTAGATATTTCAACATACTATTAAACTGTTGTCAGTCAAGTTGTCATTTAAAATCCGAACATCATTGGTAATGTTATTGTTTTAGTGATAATGCAAACAAAAAGTCATTTTATTTGTTGTTTGATTTTTGACACTTGAAGTGATTTATGTGTCAGTACTTTTTTAACATCTCAAGCACATTTGAACAATACCGTGATAATACTAATAACCGCGATAATTTTGGTCACTATAACCGTGGTAAGAAATTTTCATACTGTTACATCCCTAATGGTATCAAAGATTTTAATATCATAAAAAACTTTTTAAAAGAAAAAAAAAATATATATATATATATCGTGATATATATCGTTATCGTGATATAAGATTTTGGTCATATCGCCCACCCCTAGTCATGACTATCAAAGGACACTTCGACCCATGCATGTTTTTTTTTTTATTAAGTATTATGGCTAAATTGATAATGCTTTCAGCTGCCAATAAGGCTGTTTTCACACTTGTTTCATTGTTTGGTCTGAACTAAAGTTCGATTTCAACCCCCTCACCCGCTGGTCTCTTTTCACATTGTACTTGTGTTTGTCTGCAACAGATGTAGCACACGTGATGTGAAAAATGCAAGCTGCTTTCTGAAGGCAATTTATTTAGAGACATGCAACCATGAGAAATGCATAACATCAAAATGAGGGTTTTCACATTTTGAATCATATTTAAAATATTTAAAATATGAATCAGCAGCTATGCATTTACGTATAAAAAATCCATAAAAATAATAAAAATATGTAATATTACCTGATAAATATATTCAATTTCTATTAAAATTGTATTATTTTCTTTCTACCCACCACTGTTCTACAGGTATAAATCTGAAGAAACTGATTTCTCATAAGTCTTTAGAAAGCAGAATGGTACAGTAAATATGTAGTTTTGTTAAAGAAAGTTTTTAATATTATTATTATCATTATTATTATTATTACTACTACATTTATTTTACACAGCCCACATTTTCCTGAAGCAAACCATACTGGAAAACTGCTCTCACAACAACCAACTCTGACATGAAATGGACTTGGGTCCGCTCTAGTGTGAAAGCGTTTTACCCTGTTAAAAAACATTCTTCAGATTCTCCCACCCCCCAAAAAAACATTGCTGCTTGACAATCAAGACATTCAAGTTCAAAACGATCAACATCACAGTGCCGTCGGCCGTCACGGCACAGAGAGATTTCTTATATACAGCTGCTTTGGAGGAATCTATCTTAGGGTGAGTGCAGGACAGCTGCTCTTAATAGGATTGGAGACGCATCACATTGCAGGAGAACAGTGCAGATGGACAGGAGGGAAAACACAAATGGACGTTGAGCTGGAGAACCAGGAAGTGGGACGAATCATTTTTTGTCACGAAAACAACTAGGTTAAACAGCCGATACGCAAGAGATATGCCCTCCATCTCAATTCAATACAGACCTAATTATTTTCAAGTCTTGTGGCAAAACTGCCCTTGAAACATTTTAGACTGCTTCTATTGGAAGTGGACATACTGTGACATGCATTCAAACTATACTACTTTAAATCACTATATTAACCAGGATTAGGTACTTTACTCAGCCTAATGTTATTCCAAAACCTGAATGTTTTTTTGGTTTCTCTGTAGTCACCAAAACCATATGATAGCTTTTGAGTAAGGAACGGATCAAAAAAGTCTTGTCACTGAAATTGTTTGTTTCCAGCGTAGCACACAAATGCCATTTGCTTATATTCAAATACAGTAAGTAAAAACATGTGATGGCAGGTTTGAGATCAGTGATGCCAAATGGAATTATTATATTTATAAGAGACAATGAGATTCAAGAACTACAGCAGAGGAAAGGATTTTTAGTCAAAAACAAGTTCAGTTTCATATCATTCCTCTCGAAAAGCCATTATATGGTTTCTGAAGACCTGAAATACAGCACATACAATAAGGTTAAAAGTTTGGGTTTGGTAAGATTTTTTTTTATGTTTTTGAAAGAAGACTTTTCTCTTCCAAGGCTGCATTTATCTAATCAAAAATACAGTAAAAACAGTAATATTGTGAAATATTATTACAATTTAAAATAACTGTTTACTACTTTCATTTATTTAAAAATGTCATTGATTCCTGTCATGCAAAGCTGAATTTTTAGCATCATTACTCCAAATTTCAGTGTCAAACAACCCTTCAGAAATCATTCTGATTTGGTACTCTTATTAACATTTCTTATTATTATCAGTGTCAAAACCATAATTATTTTTAAAAATTCTTTAAAGAATATAAAGTTCAAAAGAATATCATTTATTTGAAATGGTAATCTTTGAATATAAATGGCTTTACTGTCACCAATTTAATGCATCCCTGCTGAATATCAGCAATAATTTCTTTAAGAAAAAAATCTTACTAATCAAACTTTTGAACAGTAGTCATATGGATGACTTCTATGGTGGTTTTGGTGACACGACAGCATCCATCAGCACTTCTCCATTTGTGTTCCAAGGAAGAATGTCAAGGTTACAAGACAACCATATGAGGGTAAGGAAATGACATAATATTCATATCTGGGTGAATTGACCTTTGAAAGAAAGCATGTAACCACCATTCCTGATAAGTTAGGCACGACTGGTTTCAAGTTCTTGGCCGACTACGAGATCTTGAAAATGTGCCAGCAGAATACTCAAGAGAGCCTTAACATTGTTGTTCCTGCGAACAGACAAAGTGTGTGAATAATTTCCTTTCAAACAAAGAAGCAAGTCTCTGTCATGCAAATACACTCTCCACTGGTTTATCCTCAAGCAGTGAGCAGTTACGGGTATGAGTACCAGGCCTTTGGGCTTCGCTAGGCTCGATAGTTCAGTTCGTCTGACATTAATCAAATTTCAACACGAGCTCACATTCTGACACAGCAGTAAACAGTGACACCCCTGTATCTGCCAAACCCACTGTATGTATGTGTGTGTGTGTGTGTGTGTGTGAGTGAGTGAGTGAGTGAGTGAGTGAGTGAGTGAGTGAGTGAGTGAGTGAGTGAGTGAGTGAGTGCCCTCGCTGTAAACAAAGGCAAGAAAAGTCATTGACCTACTTCAAATCGCTTCACAACAGTCCTTCCTTTATAATCTAGAGAGGAACTAACACGAAGATGAATAATTCAATAAAGCTTCTGACATTATTAAGATCATTAATTATAAACCATTCGGACTGGTGTGAAGGAACAGGTTTATCTGCTCTGGTGGAATGGGGTGAGACCTCCTTACAATCATCCTTTATTGTCATTATTCTATTTTTATAATTATCATAATAACAATAAAAGAGGTCAAACGTGATGTCAACAACTAACACCAAATAAATGGCCCCTAACAAGTGTACGGAAGGTCATGAATGTGACGTTTTCAAAAGTGTAGGCTAATTGGTTTTGACAGATGCCTGCATTCAGTAGAATTGGAAATTATCACAAACACTTAGGCATAAATTATTTTTGTTTTGTTTTGTTAATAATTATCATTATTAAGTTAATAATGAGTATAAATGTAATCATTCAAATCAGTAATGAGCTTACAGCAAGCTTAAAGTGTACTGATACTATGAGATCAAATAAGATTACATTTGATTGTAATATTAAAAATATTCTTCGTACAAAGTCATGTAAATCAGCTCACCCTCCATCCATCCATCCATCAGAATCACAATGAGGAACAAAGAAACCAAACAAATGAGCTCCATTATCCTCAACAAAGACCCCAGAATCTCATCAAACCGACAAATGATAAAAAACACAAGATCATAATCAGACCTTAAATCAGTCAAAACCCTTAATTATATCCAAATTCGTCTGATGAAAACAGACACAGTGGCACATAAGGAGATGCAGCTATCTAGAGCTGGTTCCAGTTCTAAATATAGACCACAGCCATCTGTTCCTAAAAATAACACACATTTACCCCTTACAAACCAGCCTCATTCCATACCTTGAAATAGCCCCCTTCATAGTGAGTGTTTGGGGGTCCGAAAATCGCCACTTCCCAGTTGTAGAGATCAGCTTCATCCACTAAAGTGATCTTGAAACCCTCCACTGGTTCCTCCTGTAGAGACTTCATCTCCAGCATCAAAGCTTTCTGTGAGCTGGCGACCTGAGTACTGCTCTGCTGGGCCATTCCTGCGTTATTTCTACCCAACTAGACTCAAAAAGTGGGCTTTGTTACTCAAAAGGGGCGAAAAGTTGACCAGATGTGATGAGGCAATGAAAGCTGCTTTTCTTTGTCTGGAGTTGCTAGCTTAACGAGGAAATGACAATGTCCTCAAAAAAGAGACTATTTTCGATCAAATAAGAAGTGTTTTAGCTATAAAGCATTATAAGTGTTTTTTTCGTCGTCCATGAAATTAAAAAGGGTTGTTTGGTTGTTTATACGCAGGGTTTTGCCAGTCAGAAAAATAAATAATCGCGCTCCGGGTTTGTTGTTTGTTTTTTCGTAGCCGAAGGCTAGCCGTGAAAATCCACTTCGACTCAACACTAATCCTCTCTAACGGGAGGTTTTCGTTAAATAAGTAAATTCAGATGTCTGAATGTACACAAAGAAAGTCTACGCTTGAATTGTGTGCCAAGCTGATCCGTCGAGAAGCAAAAATTGGCGTGAACTAGTAAACGTGAAGGAGAGTGGCGAGTTACGAGTCGATGTCCTGGATGCGTCTTTCCTCAATTCCAATGGGGTCGCGGTGCATCATGGGTACTGAAGTTTTACCCGCACACTTTACACTGTAAACATACCTTCATTAACTGACAACATTCCAGTTATTTGACTAATACCAACCCCTCTTATAATTAGTCTAGCTAAATAATTAGTTAACAGTTTCACTGATTGTGTTATGTATGCATATATTAACCAATTCGTTATATTATTTTTCTATAGGCCTAGGGGAGAGTGGGCCTCTCTGTAACACACCTTAAGTCTTGGCTAAAAGTTTTATTTAAAATTGTATTCTGTTATTGGCCAGCAAAATGTATTGAACACAAGTAGAAAATAAAACAAATAAACCTTCATATCATCCATTTATCCCAAACAAAGACAGACAAATCTCATCAAATCCACATCTGATGAAAAAACAGGTCATGACGTGATTAAATCAGCCTTTAAAGCAATCATAGATCTGAATTATATCAATATATCAGAAATTCAGTTATGCAACACTGTTACAGAACTCTATAAGGTGAAACTAACGTTTGATTTAACTTTTGAATGAATACTTTTCTTTGTTCACAAAATCTGTTTTTGTTTCTAATAGAAAATCAATCCTAAAAGAACCTGTTTAGATAAAATAAGAGTTCTCATTTTTTTATCATAGAGCACTTAGGTTTACAACGTTTATTTTTAAACTCTTTTCAGGAAATATTTCCCTTTTTGTATCAATAAAAGAAAATATATGTTTGTTATTCAGCATCTATCTCATATGATGTTTATTTGGCTCCTGAATGTCCAGGAATGTCTAATCTAGTTAACAGACTGCCTCTCTCACTCTGATTATATGGCTGTTTATTATTAATCTCTGTTACATATCAATCAAAACTACTGGCTTTTGTCCAGAGGTAAGGCAGTAACAATAAAAGTCAACCGAGATCAGCTCCATATGTTGCCATATACATGCATTTATACATGCCGATTAGGGAAATAACAATATTGATCTATTCAATGTAAATCTAAATTCAATCTAAAGGCACATTAGATCAATCATCATTACTCTTATGTTTCTCTTCATGTGGAAGTGCCTGAAGCAACCATCTCTCTGACGTCTCTCCTCCTGATATACTGTCAGCTATCTGATACAAACACTGGATAGGCTGATGGGATAGTCAAAGGACAGTCTGTTAGTCCCTGATGATAATGTTAGCAGTTAAGCTTTGACGTTAAGGAATGTATTACACATCAGTACATTTGTCAGTAACATGATCTGTGGATCGTATTGTAGGATGCTTTTAATATATGCTATATATATAAACATATTTCCAGATGTATTTTTTATATATTTAAAAAAAAAAGTATGATAATTTAAATCTATTGTCATCAGAGAAACTGAGCAAAAAGAGCAAAAACAAATATTGAGTCTAAAATGTACCGTAATTATTATTATGAACTATTTTGTTTGAAATCGCTCTAATAGTCTGAAAAAAAACACGTCACTCTCTTATTTGTGTGATATTGCTTAACAATTTTTTTGCCCCCATATCTTAACTTATTTACCTTTTTCATATAGCCTATATTTTTACACTAGCCGGCAGAGCCAATGCTACTTTGTATTTAATAGATTTTTTAAATGTTTTTAACCCAAAGCAACACACACTTGTTGCTGGTAGAGTTTTACTCAAGGGCACAATGCTGATAAAATGTAATTCAAGGACTCTGTGGGTCCTGAATCAACCTTATCAAGGCTCAACCAACAACATTTGTGGAAAATATCAGTAATTAATAGCCCTGTAAACCACATTACAGAAATGCATCTAAATACACGTGTCACATTATAACATTTGCTACTCAAGATGAATATGAGTGCACAGTAGTATCTTGGGAAAAGCCCCATTATAAAATAATTTGCACATTGTGAATATACATTATTTAAACATATCTAAATTGAACTGTCATATAAAGATGTAAAATTTAAACCTGGTTATAATGCAGCTAAATAAATAAATCTCTACATCAGTGTAAAATATTTGACTTTTATATTGGTGGATGATCTTATATTTGTTTCTGTCACATCTGAAGTTGCATTGAATGGGTCCTATTAAAACAAAGTCTTAGACAGAAATTAATTGTTTAATCTTCATCTCACATTAACATAGACATATGTTGTGATTAAATTTGACAATCTAAGTATTTTAACAACTGTAATGCTTGAGATTTGCTTTTTCAATCAAATTGAAAAAGTTTAGAGAAAAACGTACTCTATGGTACAACAGTAATACCCATTCTCTCAAGAAAAAAACTCGTAGTCTTGAGCGCAAATGGAGAAAAACTAACTTGGAAGTTTTTAGAATTGCGTGGAAAAACAGTATCTTGGAAAATAAAAATTAGAGAATAATTCACTTTAGTGCGAGTGAGTAAGTCACTCTGATTGTATTTCATATCTGGCCATAAAGTTATGTATAATGCAGTATCTGTAACAGTACAGACGTATAGTAGATAAGAAAGTAATTTAGAAAGGCCTATAACAGAAGTCCATCTTAACTTTTTTTTTGTTTGTTTGTTTTAGTTAAAGTCATAAACAAAATGTTTAGTGAACAATTGTTTATTCTTCTTCATCTCACACATCACAGAATGATGACGAATTATTTTTTTGTCCATGAATGATCCCCCAAAATAAAAACGTATAATATAATAAACTATTTTATTTGTGGTTACAAGATCATATACATGAATCTAAACATTTGCCAATAAAGCAAATGTAGTTTAATAAGTATTTAATAATAATATTTAATTAGTTTTATTATTTGTTATTTTTTTACGTATTAGCAATTAAATATTTTTTTTTTAAATAGGCTTATCTTTGAAGTGAACTGTATTTTTCATAGCAAACGTTTCCGGTTAACGGGCTTTTATTGTGAAATACGGCACATCCGGCGCTGCCGTCGTTTGTTTCCCGACAAATGAAAACGTCAGTGTCTGCTGCTAATGCCGGGCTGATTCCTGCAACAATCAGCAAGATGATTGGCATCCTACTGCCTGTTTCCAATCAATACGGATCAAACTATTAGCGTTTACTGTATCTGTAGGTAGCCAAAGCCCATTTTGTATTACTATACCCTTTTTGGTAAGTGATGTCTTTGATTTATTTGGCCAAAAATCATGCTAGTGCTAACTGACTAGATATTAATAATTATATCTAGTTTCTAAATCTTTTGGATGCATGTGATATGCAATTTAAAATACACGTATGCAGTGGATGTGTTTTCGTATATTGTGCAAATGGTGTGTGTATATTTAGAATTTTATATTATTTAATATTTATTGCATAGTAAATTGTACCATACAGTGCAACTAATGCATATCTATCTAGCATTTAAATGTAGGTTAATCATATTTCTTATTTTATTATATTTATTTAGCTTCATGTTTCCATGGAAATTATGCACTGGGGTCCAAGGGTCAGTCTGAGATAAACTAGTGTGTATGTATGTGTATGTATATATATATATACATACATACATACATACATACATACATAC